AGAAAACAAATAATAAAAGAAAAAATCAATAAAATGTACTTTGTCAAAATTAAAAACTGAGCCCATCAAAACACACTGTTACTAAAGGACAAGCCACAGACCAGGACCATGTATTTATAAAACCTATTTCAAAAAGGACTTGAATGTGCATGTAAAAAGAACTCTTAGAACTCAAAAATAATGTGATCTATTGATAAAACAGGCAAAAGATTTAAACAGACCTTCAAACCAAAAAAGACACACTGATGACAGATACGCACATATAAAGATGTACACCATCAGTGTCAATAGGGAAGTGCAAATTAAAAACCACAATAAGATACCACTACTTACCCACTAAAATGGGTAAAATTAAAAAGTCTGACCATACTGAGTATTGGTAAAGATATGAAGCAAGTAGAATTCTCATATACTTGCTGGTGAGAATATAAAATGTATACTTTGGAGCCACTCTGGAAAGCTGTATAGTAGTTTCTTAAGAAGTTATACATTACCCACATATAACCCAACCATTCTACTAGATATTTATCCAAGACAAATGAAAACTATACCAGGTCTGTCTGTAAAAAGCCCAACCACTGTTAATATAACGAGAATGGTTTGTGCAACATCAATGTAACCCGGCAGCCAAGGAGAGAGGACTGGAATGTGCATGTGTGAACAATGACAACTTCACTGTACTACTCAATGGGGGCAGTAGACACCACTGAGTGACCATGTGTCCTGTGTGGCCATCACATTCAGAATGACTGAATGAGTAGAGCAACAAATGTGCATCAAATTTTGTATTAGCTTAAACATTCCTCTGCAGAAACTGTTTGGGTGATTCCAAAGGCTGCAGCTATGGGCAACTGGTGACTGGTAGCTTCATCATGACAATAATGCCCACTCATGCATCGCAGCCATGCAGAGATTTTTTGGCAAAACATCAAATCACCCCGGTGACTTGGCCCTCCTACAGCCCGGATTTGGTGCCCTCTGACTTCTAGCTTTTCCCAAAACTAAAATCATCTTTGAAAGGGAAGAGATTTCAAACTGTTGATGAAATTCAGGAACACGTCAGGGCATCTGATGGAGATTGGGAAAACTGTGTGAGGTCTCAAGGTGCCTACTTTGAAGGAGATTGAGGTATCTTTGTCCCATGTACAATGTTTCTTATAACTTGTTTCTTCTTCAATAAAGGTCTCTATTTTTCATATTACGTGGCTGGATACCTTCTGGACAGACTTTGTAGGTCCTCACAAAGTCTTATATGTGAATGTTCATAGCAGCTTTATTGTAAAAGCTAAAAACTGGAAAAATCCCAAGTGACCACCAACAGGTGAATGGGTCAACAAGCTACAGCATATCCACAACGGAATACACACAGCAATAACATAAAATGCATAAAACCAAAATAGATTAACTCTAAAGTATTTATGCTGGGAGAAAAAGGTTAGAAAAGTAAAGTAACTATATCATTCTTTTATATAAATTCTGGGAAATGCAAACTAATATAAGTGAAATAAAATACATCACATAATAATAAAAGACAAAGCAGGAGAGAATGAAGGAAAGATTACAAAGGGACATGAGAAAACCTGAGGGTGTAACAAAATTTCATCAAATTCTACACCTTAAATATCTGCAGCTGACTGCATATAAAGCAATTATATTTCAGTAAAGCTGGTTACACAAGATTGGTTGATTTTCTTTACTTGCATATTACAAAAATAATTAAGCCAAACAAACTCTGTATACTGGGTGTTGGGAATGCTCAGAAAAGAGTAATTTGTCATGAGTACACCTCGATACACACACACATCTGTATACATATACTTAATAAAAAAGAATAAACTAACAATAATTTACAAAGGAATAAGAATTTTTAAGGTAAACGAATCATGGATTTTTGAAAACTACATCATTGCATTTGTCCTCTAAAGACATTAGAAATGACTTTAAGTTACAAAAAATGAATAAAGCCATCAGTAGGTAGCCATCATACTAGCAAAAAATATCAAATAATTTTAGAATTTGAGTACCTAAAAAGTGCCTCTAATCCAAAATCCTCATTTTATAGTAGAGAATGGGAAGCCCAGAGAGGTTAAATCAACTGCTCAAGGTTACTGCAAGGCAGTACAATTGTACAAACTGTATAATCAAATTTGTACAATTTTAACATAAATGGTATTTAGGATCAATTACCATTACATTATCATACTGATCAAATTTCAGTGCAACTGAATATTTACTAGGCATTATGGGGGTATATGGAAATTTTTATCCTCAATGTCAATTGGTGAGGCTTATTAAATATTTAAGGCATAAATGTTATTATTTTTTAATGAAATCTACAGCACTAATGGAACAAGGACCAAAGGAGGTACAGCATAATAAATTACCCTTTTTTGAGCATTCTCAATTTACAGAGTTTGTTTGACTTGGTTATTTTTGTAATACGCATGTAAAGAAAATCAATCAATCTTGTCTAACCAGTTTTTCCACAAGAACATTTAAAGAATGAAAGAGGATGAAAATTGCAGCCTGTGAGCTATGTTTTTACCCACAGATATATTTTTTCTGGCTTACATAGTGCTTTTAAAAACTTGAATTTGTGGCTAACATTTAAAATGAGTGGACCTTATATTGAAATCTGAGCTTCTGAATTTTGTTGAAACAATGAAAGATCTGACATAACTAAAAAGACATCCTTCATGGCAAAAACTAAGCACTCATTAGGCTCTTGGGTAACTTAGATAAATAAGACAAAATTACTTCTTTCAAAAACCTCAAAGTTTATCATTAGAGATAGAGATAAGCACGCAAATAAATCACTTCAGTACATTAAGTTCTTACAGTGTGCCAGGTCTGTGTGTCAGATAACCCTATTCTCAATAAAATGAGAAAAGGATGAGACTGAGGCACAAGGGAAGAGGTGAGCAATTATGGTAAAAAGAATACTGCTTTGGGAAAGCTTCAAGGAGGGAGCACTTGAGTTTTTACAAGTAAAAGTGAAGTGAATAGGGCAGAAGAGGATATTTCAAGCAAAGCACCAGCACGTTCAAGGTTACAGGTTCACATAAAGTAGTCAAAGATGAAGTACAAGGCATCGGGTAGTTTGGAAAAAAATGAGAAGCCTTGAAAGATGGACTAAAGCCATCTTTCATGGACTGAAGTCATGAATAACTCTTGTTACTCCAGGTGAAGAAATGTGGGTTTCAACCTACACCTTAGTCTTTAGTTCCCACAGTGCCACTAAGACTGCTCATGATTCAACCCAGGTGGGAGAAGAAATAAAAATGGAAAGGATATGACAGCTGACCACTCTAATTACTGACTCAATTACAGGAGCTCTACTTTTGTCTATTTTGCAATGCAGTGAAGTTCTACTTTAATTTTTTTCTGGAGAAATATTCTACTGTTATATACGAACTTTAAAAAAAATCTTAAACATGAGCCATTAAAAGATTCTTACCCAGAAATTAAATGATAGGATTCGCATCTTGGAAAGGTCTCTCTGGTAACAGTGCCAAGGATGGAACAAAGAAGGATGAGGCCAGGAAACAAGAATACTTAGTTGCAACAACTGATGCAAGACATTATGAGTTATATCTGGGTAGTGACAACAGAGATATTCAAATATTGTTGATATCTACTTTGTGCAATGTTGTTGGCTATGTGCTAGGTTCAGGATAAAAAACATAAATTCGAGTTACTTAAATGAAAAGAAATCATAATTGATTACAATGAGAAGGTAAAGAAATTACCAAGGAATTAAACGTGGCAGGTGACTTGAATAAACTCATGAATAGCTGTACTTTAAACTGAGAATAAAATCATAACACCTTATCTTCAATAGGCTAGGTACAACCAGGCCAAAAAAGATGTTCAGGACGTATAATCCAGAAAAAGCACAGGATTACAGTTATGACTATACTTCAGGATAAAGGTCCTAGAGGATCTGCTAGAGGTATACATAAAATCAGAACCATCCTTGAACGACATTATAAACAACAAGCCCTTAACTATCAATATCCCAGAGAGAATCTCAAAGGTTTCACTAATGGTCTACCTAAAGTTAAAGCAAGGCATCTCTCCTTTAGCAATTTTGGTAGAGATCCAGATATCCAAATGGAATCATGGCAGACAAGAATGTTGAAAAACAATTCTTATATCACCATACCTGTACAACTGCTAGCTAACATATGACCAACACGTGAATCGCCTGTCCCATTATTCCTAAGGTAAGTACGTAATGTGTTGCACAGTTCCACTCATAGTTATTCTTTAATTACCAATTTCTTATTAGGCTTTCAGAATAGATTCCAGGTATTTATGTGGGTACATTTGCCAAGCATTAGAAGTGTTCGATGATACTAAGTTTCTAGGTTTTTCATAGCACCCTAAATTGAAAGAAATTCCATACCATTTCCACATGAATCTGGTTTTATAACATAATTGCTTTCCCTGATAAATGAATTTTTAAAAGGGGCAGCAGAGAGGAAAGGAAAAGAATGGGGTTGGGGAGCTTTTACATTTTTCGAAAATGAATCCTACTTTCACTGCTGTCCATGAAAGTTACTTCAATTTCCTTAATAAAGATTATAATTAAGTACACAAAATAAACACTTAAGCCCTTCAGTGAGAGAACTGATCAAAAATCCTCTTTATCACAAGAGCCTTCATTCCTCATTAATTGTATTAGATTATGAAGCCTTGCCCATTAAAGGATAGATCAAAAGCTAATTACTATTTCCAAGTATCTTACTCTAAATTATAAAACTCTTCTCTTGACAACATTGGAAAGTGTAAGTGTATTGCCAAACCTTACATATTAGAAAACATATTGTAAGACACGACTTGCACAAGCCTGTAGCTACATAGTTTTAAAAAAAAATGAAATTGGTATCTGACTAAAACAATAAGATTTGGAAATTATTCTCTAAGTATCTTTAAGAGGGGCATAAGTGCTTGCATTTACAGAAAGAAAACAAAACCACGGGGAATGGAAGTATTACCTGAGGGCAGGAAATTTCAGACAAAAGGTCCCTATTCCTGATGAAAGCAAGTAGTCAGTTGCCAGGGTCTCTTAGACTCCTCTGGTACTCATTTGGGTGATTAGGAAATTCACAGCACACCAATCTCCACCTCAGCCAGCAGGGATCACTGCAGGTAATGGGTACACGGGGGACACAGAAGGGAGCAAGTTTAAGGGAAGGGAGAGGAAAGGAATGATATGATAAAAATATTTAGCTGTGATTCACTTTTTAAAAATATTTGTATTTCACACTGGATTAACTAAAACAAACACTGCTAAAATTTACATATGATAAATTAACAATTTATGATTTCTTCACTCTCCCTACCACTGGAATTACTACTACTCCACTAAATAATAGGTATTTCTTAATGTTTTATATTAAAAATGCTAATTAATGACAATGAGATAGCTTATTTTATACAGAAGTTATACAAGGACTGAACTATATAATTCAACATTAAATGAAGCCAATTAGGACAAGCTGTCTAAAAGACACAATCTACAAATACAAATTGTCAAATTAACTGTCAAAAGGCCCAGTGAAACATATAATCCTCATTTCATTACATAAAATACTAGAACAAAATTACCTCTGAAAAGTAACCCCAAAACCAAAAAGAAATCCAACAATAAACTACATCTGAATACTCAAAAGTGAACTGGAGAAGTATAGTATTTATCAGGAAAAAAAACTTCTATCCACATTTTGTGGATATGAATCAACTTTTAAACCAGCCAAATATGGATTCAGGGCAGCCAATTCATGCCCTGTGTATTCAAGAAAGGCCAGTGTAGTACAAATGTACTTCTCCAGCCAGTTAAACACATTTCTGAACAACTACTACGTACCACAGGACGATGGCAGCTGTTAAAGTTACAACGGCGAACAAGACAAGGACAGTCACTGTCCTCAGAATTCAGAGCCTATCAGGGTGATTCTGCCCTTAAAGAGATAACAATCTGCACTACTAACAATTATGAAGCTTTTGTTTTAATAAAGCAAACAATGTATTTTAAGACCTAAAAACCTTCAAATGAAGATGACCAGTAAAGACTAGTCTACTTCAAGCTGCCTATGGAAGATACGGAAGTAAAATGAAGCCCGAGAGGACACGCTATTATGAAAGGATGCAGACAATCTGACGACAGAAAATAAAACAAGACGGGTGAAGAGGGCGAGGGTGGGGGAGTATAGTATTGGAAAACAGTGAAAAACAAAGCTGCAGCCAAATTTGGAGGACCTCAGTCATCCTCAAGGTCTCTAAATACTCTCCTTAAATATTCCCTTGGTATGCGTGCTGCAGTCAGACAAAATAGATTTAATAACTATCCATTTTTATATCACTAAACTGTCAATTTATATGCTTTTATTTTGTTATTGCTTTACAATTTTCTGAGATGCTATCTTAAATTCTATTTACTCACCCACCATATTGTTTCCAGAAGACATTTCTAGCTCTTAATTTTATTTATATGTCTTATGGAACCTTCTTTAAGTACTAGTAGAAAAAAAATAAATGAATGACTTATCAATGAAGATATTTACAATATTTCTTAAAGATAAGATAAATCTTACATATTATGGATGCCCCTTTTTATAGCACATGTCATTTATATATAAAGCATCACAGCCAAAGAAAAATTTGGAGGAGAAACTGCAATTTTGTATTTAAAAACATAGTTTTACCAAATTTTAAACCTCTGATTTTCTAATATTACTACATTTATCCCTAAGTATTAATTCCTAACAATGAAATTACAAAAGGTTTACAAGTAGACATGGGTAGAAGAAAACCACACTTGATGCTAGGCTAGCAGTGTCCAAAGTTGTCAGGTAGCCCTCTCTTTAATGGTTTTCTGGGTAGAAAAAGAACATATACACTTAAAATAACATCTCAAAGGACAGACGAATATACAGAGTCCAGCAGAAGTAACGCCTGCTGGAGTGTGGTTGGTAGGGCATGTGAAAGTCTTAAACAAGATGGACAGCGATTTGAACATTTCACCGAAAACGTCATACGGTGTGCTTCAGTGTGATATTATTATGTTACCAAATTACATGCTTATGATTTTGTGATAAAAGATTTTGTAATAAAAAGGGGACATTATTTGTCCCAGACCCTGTAGAATGCAAAATTTATACACTACATTCATTTTGCCTGGGAGAAGTCTCAAAACCAGTGAGTGAATTATCAGACAAACCAGTAGTAAGTCTGTTGCCTGAAAAATCAAACAAACAATAAATTACTATATCCTGAATCATATTTGCTTCACCTCTCAACATAGTCTTGACGTGATAACTGTTCATATTTCACTCATGGAAATAGTCATTAAGTCTTCTACTTGTAGCTTACATGAATGAGCTCCAGCCACTAATACCAACTGATTAAATACCAATCTTAAATAGAAATATTAAATTACCCTAAATTATGTAAAATGCAGAATTAAAAGATATATAACTGGTAAGAGATCAACTTATTAAGGAAATGTTTACACTGGAATTGCAGTAATAAGGTAAAGTGCAATATTACAAAAAATAATATTGCAAAAATATTGCAAAAAAGATTATGCAAGTAAAAAAAATAAATGGAGAAATAATATTTCCACAACTTGAAAGAACTGCTGTGTCAAAGGATTCCCAACTAATAAAAGAATCTCCTAAGGACTACTGCAGCAAGATGGTGAAACACTGTAAGAGTAATAAGGAAAATGATGAAAATTGATTGAGTAAAAGAAAATCAAGCCATTAGGTGGGAACAAGAACCTAAGCAGGCAGCACAGAAAAATCAAATTAAAAGGGTGCTGAATCAGTGACTTAACCACTCAACACTACTCGTCAAACTTTAACCTTAGGCAAGTGACACATCTCAATATTTAATAATCACCTTCTCATGGACAGGAACAAATCCCTTCTGATTCTATTAACAGAATGGTGATATTAGAACACCCAATGGACCAAACATTCAACCCCCTTTACACCTAAAGTTTTCAAATCAATCTCCTGAAAGTAACTTCTGCAAGAATCAATATCTGGTTTTATTTGGAAATTAATGTCAAAGAAACAAAGCACCCACTGGATTTCAGATGCTTCAGATAGTGCACTTAATAGCAAATAAATAAATAAAATAAAAATTCTGTACTGCATAAACCAAAGGATAACCACACACACAAAAATGGACATTATTGCCAGACTAAAACATATAGTATAAATTAGTTCACAAATAAAAGGGATCTTCATAGATATCTAAAAGGTATCCAAATTAACCCTTGATCTTCTTCCATAAGCCTGTTCCTCCTGCAGTCTTCAACTTCATGAACAGCAACTCTATCTTGTCAGCTGCTTACATCAAAAACTTTGGAGTCAGCCACCACTGCTCTCTTTCTCTCTCAATCACATTTTATCTGCCAGTAAAAGCCTGGGGTTCTACCTTAAAAATACATCTAAAACCTGATGATATCTCAACAACTCCACTGAATCCACCTAAGTCCAATATCTTTCTCATCTAGATAGTTAACACTTTTAACTGGGCTCCTGTTTCTGCCCTTGCCCTCCTATTATTTATTTCCCACATGGCTATAGAGTAATCCTTGGCTCCAAGCCTTCCAGTGGATTCCAATCTCACTCAGATAAAAGCCAAGTCATTACAAGGCCCCAAAAGATCTGGCCTTTGATCGAATCTTGCACTCACTCCATTCTTCACTCTCCTTTCCTGTATCAGTGGCCTAGATATATATCAAGGGTGTCCAACCTGCAGCCTGGAGCCCTGCAGCCCCGCGCATGTGGCCCAGGATGGCTTTGAATGTGGCCCAACACAAAATCGTACATTTACTTAAAACATTACTTAGTTTTATTACTAAGTTTAATACTAAGTTTTATTACTTAGATATATACATTTTCTATATTAGTTATCACAAACTTGGGACCTGTTTGATGATTTTAAAAGATTATCCAAAGGGCCACTGCATAATTAGGGTTATTACATGAGGATTTTTTTTTTTGCTTATCTGCAGTAGCAGATATCACGAAAATTATGCATGAACCTTTTTTTTGCTCATTGGTTTTCATTAGTGTTTGTGTATTTAATATGTAGCCCAAGACAACTCTTCTTCCAGTGTGGCCCAGAGATGCCAAAAGGCTGGACACCCCTGATACATATCAAAAACAACAAACAAGCTTCCACTTCTGCATCTCTTCATTTGCTTCTACCACCTCTTTCGGATCTCCTCTCAAATATCACCTCAATTAAGGCTTCTGGAATCAACAGATTAGAAATTGCAAAACCCATCCTCAACACCTCTGTGTACGGACTTCCTATCCTCTTTCCTGTTACTTTTTTTTTTTTCAGTAGTACTTACCACAAACTGATACAATGTATTTCCCTTATTTATTTTATTTATTTACTATAAGCATTCTCTAATTAAAATGTAACTCCACTGAGGGCAGGGATTTTTTTGCCCTAGGAATATGGACCAATAAGTGGTACAAAGTAGCACTCAGCAAATATGTGTTAAATAAATGACTAGTATATCTAGTGTCAAACATTATTGGAGATTATTTTTAAAAGAACAATGTCAATATAAGTAACCAAAAGTTACTTTAAAAATACCCAAATTCATAAAAGTAAATTTATTTATAATCCTAAAAGGGAACATTAAACTCAATTTTTTTCCAGTTGTCTACTGCAAGTGAAACAAACCTCACAAATTTCAATGGCAGCATAGTTCTATACATAGGTACATTTATCGATCCTAGTCATGCTTCTTATGCCATAATGGTAGTCACTGAAGCGTCTCAAGAGATGAGACCGTATCTTACCCATTTTTGTGACTCTAATGCCAAGTGCTCAAAACCATGTATACATAAAATCTCAAAAATTACTTATTGAGCTTTATTATAAAAGTGGAAGGTGTCAATAATTAGCCTATATATAACAATATAAAATTACCATTTGAGAAAATAATTTGACAGTCTAACAATCTATGTTGTATTTCCTTTTAAGAATGTCCAGCCCTGGCTGGTACAGCTCAGTGGATTGAGTGCTGGCCTGAGAACTGAAAGGTCACCAGTTCAAGTCCCTGGCAGGGCACATGCCTGGGTTACAGGCCAGGTTCCCAACTGGGGTAT